CCTTCTCTTGAGAGTTCTTGGTGAGCTGGATTGGCTGCCTTAACGTGGGAGGCGTGGACCTTAAGAGCTGTAGGTGTGGTGAGGAGGACGGTGTATGGTCCTTTCCAGCGTGGTTCTAGGCTCCGAGTCTGATGCCTCCGGACCCAGACAGCGTCCCCGGGCTGGAAGGGGTGGGGTGCAATAGGAGTGTCAATAGCATCCTGATAGGCTGCAGCTAGGGGCTTCCAGATTTCCTGGTGAGCCAGCTGGAGTGCCTTCAGGTGAGCAAAGAGGGAAGGTGAATCAACAAAGTTAGAGATATCCGGGTCTAAGAAGGAAACTGCAGGGGGAGGGGTCCCATACAGGATTTCAAACGGAGTTAACCCACTGGGCCCAGGAGTGTTCCTGGCCCGGTATAATGCCAAGGGCAGTAGAGTCACCCAGTCTTTAGTGCCAGTTGCTAGCGAAAATTTAGTTAGAGCCTCTTTAATTGTCCTATTCATTCTTTCTACCTGGCCTGACCTCTGGGGTCTGTAAGCACAATGTAATTTCCAATCAATTCCCAACAACCTGGCCACTTTCTGACTTACCTGGGAGACGAAGGCCGGTCCGTTATCTGACCCTATTACCTGAGGCATCCCGAATCGAGGAAAGATGTCTTCTAGTCAATGCTCCGGCTCCTCCAGTTTGGTGTGATAGTGGGTGGTCATCCAGTGCTCCCATTAACTCAGAGCAGGCAGGGCTGAGGCTGCTATCAGGCAGGGTAGGCACCAGCTCAGGCTCCAGGAAGTCGCTTAGTTGGCTGGCGTCATACCAATTGAGGGAGAGGCCACCTGGGCTGCTAGGCCCCTTGTCACTGCACGGGGCTTCTGACATCAGCTCTAGGGGCCCAGCTATCCCTTTGGGCCTCCGCAGCAGACCTCGGAGCTCCATCAGGCTGGGCAGGGTCAGCAGCTCCTGTGCAAAGTCAGATCAGTCCTTGGAGCCAGGGCACCGTGCCTGCAGATGGCAGTGGCTTGTCGTGGTGCTCTACTGGGGGGTGCGAGTGATGAATGGCCACCAGGATGAAGAACAGGAACAGGGGCCACAGCAGTTCCTCGAGTAGCTGGATCGGCTGTCTCCTGCGATAAATGTAGTTTTTCCAAAGTAAAAGCGCCAACTGAGGGCAGAAGGCCATGATGACTCTGGACAGGGGACAGAGCGGAGGGGTGGAGACGAAGGTCAGGCCGGGGGCGTGCTGTGCAACGTCGGGGAACGTGCTGTCGGTCTCTGATCCTCATCCTCCCATCCCTGGGCGGGGTGGGGGTTCCTGGCCCCGACCTTCCTAATCAAGGTTAAGGATTTCAGCTCTGTCTTTCCTTTGTTTCTTCTTTCTCTTGGTACAGTCCTTTGCCCAGTGTCCTTTTTCCTTGCGGTAGGCACACTGGTCTGACCCTAGTTGGACACGCCCTCAATCTCCCTTCCTCTCTACTCTGCCCTCGTCTTTCTTTCTTACTACTGTGGCCAGGATTCTGCTTAATTCCTTATTTTGCCTCTTGTCTCTCGCATTCTCCCTATCTTCTGCCTCTTTTTTTTTTATTATTATAAATTTTCTCTGCTTT